TACAAAACCAACTGTCTGCAGATGACCATGAATGATTAATTCCGAAACATTATGCCCTTGTCCTACTCCACGAGCAGTAATATGCCCGATTCGCTCCGGTTAACATTTTGAGTTGATCGTTTAAACTGATGATAGTCTCCCTGAGGGTTGCCGGTCTTCGAGGGTAAACTCTGGATTTCGTAAACTAGTCATGCACTGTACGCTCCTCTAGAGCATGGTCTACTCAAACTTCATATATCTTTCATGCGGCTTCAGCCGCATTCTAGGGCTTGCGGTAGAAGAAATACTTCAGATGCCGAAAATGGGCGCAGTGGTTCTCCATTTTCATACGAGTCCTGTACAGACAAACTCCGACAAATGCTGACAGAATTCCAACAGTAGTATAGAGGAGGACCTACTCTTTCAGAAAACATATAACTTTTTGAGGTTGTATCCTTCATCTTTTGCACAACAGTTGATAAATCCGGGGCGTCGAAAATCGGCGGCAACTTTTAGGACAACCCAATACTAACTCGCTCAAAGCAAAGTAGACTGCTTCTGCCTCATAAGTCAGGAAATGCCAATCCAATTAGTGCGATAAGGAACACATGTGGTGCGAAGGGACCCTCCATTGGCTCTTACAGCACTACAAGAAATTTGTACCACAAGCTCAAAAATGGCCACTTTGACTAGACCGAAAAACCACGATCTGGAGACCAGCTGAGCTCAATGAAGACCACCATCTGAAGCTAGTCGCAGATGATTCCTGGTGTAATACCCGCGAGCTCGAACAGGAGCTTAATAGCTATCACTATACAGTAGCTACCCATTGCATCGCCTCGGAAATACATGAGGTTAGGGAGTATGGATAGTTTGTGGCTGGGTGGTCACCATCTTCAAATGAGTAGAAATGCATGCAGGAGAATCCGAGGACGCGTAGAGCACGGAATTGCGACCCCCAAATTAGATCTTCGACCTAAGAAGGCAATGCTCAGCGTTTGGAGCTACTCGAAGGGATCGTTCACTGGGACTTGCTGCTACCGCACTCCACTATCAGCACCGAAGCCTACAGTATTCTGATGAACCGGTTTGTTGCAATTCTGCGAGAGGAACAACGGAACTTCCACCTTGTCCACCGCAGTGCTGGCCCATACATTGTGAAGGAGACCCAGAAGTAGGTACAAAGCTTAGGATGGCATGTTCTGACCCACCCACCGTATTCAACAGAACTCGGTCCAACAGAGTATCACCTGTTCCTGTCGCTATCAAACCATTTCAATAGTAAGAATTTCGATTATGTGATCTAACTTGAGACGTGCATCAGCGAGTTTTTTCCGTCCAAATCTCAGGGTCTCTGTGCAAGCGGGATCCACAAGTTGCCTGAGGAATGGCAATACCTTGTCGACAATGATGGTGCATCTATTTAATTTCGGGTTGTCGTGAAGCAAAAAGTAAATTTGGAAAAAATTGCAAAATGCGCAAAGGCTTTTCAGACGAGCTCACACATATGGAATTTTTGAGAATATCGAGCTTCCACGTTCACTCACCACCGAAACCAATTGTTAGCACGCTTATCATCATGAAGTAAAATCCGTCAGATAGCTGCCATCCTTCAATTAGCGAAATCATGTAGGAGGCGAAGGCAATGTAGACGAGTAGGACACCTGTAAAGAATGGCAGATCACCAGATCATTGCTTTGTGGTATCCAATGTAATAAGATGTTTTAGAAAGGATGACACTAGCATAGGTTTTCCTACCAACTGTAAACTTCTTATATGCCCACGCATTGAATGGAAGTTTAGTGTACAATCTGCATCGACGATAGTCAACTTTTTATGCTCTCTTAGACAGATTTCTACCCGTATTTATCGAACATGTTTACCATTCAGCTAGTCAGATTTCTTGTGATTCGCCCAGAAATCAATGAACTTTATACTTCATCCGCGGTTATATAGAGAACCCGCAGCACTCACCAATGATTAGAAGAAATGGAATTTCAACGAATTGGGCGTGTTCCAAATGAGTCCATAGAAACTCAGCTACCTGAATGGATTAAGAATGAATATACAGTACACATATGGAGTGATATCAGCTGTTTATTCCGATGCTTGGTCCTGGTGAGCCCCCTTTTTTAGCTAGAAACAGAAAAAGAAACTGAAAAAGTGTGAAACAAGTACATTTGAAAACATTTGAAAACGCATGAAAGTAAGGTCGTTCCCACTAATTCTATGATAACTGAGAACGTGATGAGTTTTTGCTCTCGCTGGTTGGTACAGGGCAAAAAGGATTGCTTCAGGTGTTGAAGAAAAATCATAAGGAGCGGTCGGCTAACCTATGAGCGGACGTTGGGGCTGGTAAA